TGATAGAAAATGTAAACGGGACGAAACGAGTGTGGGACGAAACGAGAGGGGACGAAACAAGTGTGGGACGAAACGAGAGCTAATTAACAAATACGGGGCGAAACGAGAGTAATCCCTTTGAGCTGTAAAATGTGTATATAATCCATGCGTAACGTCATATGATGCGTATACAGGTAATTTGCATCGCACAACCGATGCACTTAAAGAATTCTACGCACATATGCCTTTATCATTATCAATCAAAGTGAAATAAACGCCAGATATGTCTTAGATTTTCTAATTTCGTTACTCTCTGTTTTTTTATGACGCCGTGCGGATAAACGCATGTTTTATTTTTTTGATATTGAGATGTATTGTTCCCGAAGATTAATAAATGAAAAAATAACACAAAAATAACACATTAGATAATTTTTACTGTTACAGAGAGAAGTGGATTCACAAACATATAATAGCTCATATATAAATATAAACAAGGAAAATACATGTTTAGCAGCCACACAAACATGTCTTGATGTAAAAAATAGAATGGGTTTAGTGACTGAAGAAGTTCACACATAATAAAAAAAATGATACAAAATATATTTATTTTTACATTTTCATTTCGGTTTTCTAACTATACAGTTTTATTAACTATGAAGCTGCAGGAAAATATTTAAACATAAAATGTTCGATGAGAGAGATAGTGTTTCTAAAAATGTAGAGTTGTTTTTTTATGTATGTTGTCGAAAGATAGGTAATGAAGTTTTGTATGAACTGCTTTCTCAGATAAGCGCTTTGCAAACTTGTTATTTTTTCGGAACCTCATAGATTTATAATAAGTTTTCTGAGGGGAGGTGGCGATTAGAAATGCAGACCAAGTCTACTGATATGCAACAGCTTCAGGGGATTCTTCTAAGTGTTTGTTAAATTTTTCCCAGTATCTGTAAATATAATCTCTCAGAGAATTGTCTCTGCTCAGAATCATCGTAGTTAGATCATCCGAGCCTCACAAGGAATACACCGGTCTCATTCCTGTACAGTATACATGTTCGATTTCTGCTTTTTGTTTGTCTGTGAAATAGAACCAGGTAAAGAAAAGGCACACAAAATGTGGTAACGCAATCGCACAAAACATTTTTCTGCTTATTTTCACCTCATATTTTGGTATAGTATGAAAAATTTTGCTCAGACCACAATAAGCATTTCTCGCCATTTTTAGTCTGCTGTCAATGTGTTTTTTCCATCCTAATTTAGTATCAATTTCAACCCCTAAATATTTGAGATTTTTTACGTATCCGATTGGAATGCTTTTGTATACTATATGTGGTTTATCTATTGCAACAATACTATGGATAAGCATAGCTTTTGTTTTTGCTACGTTTACTAGTAGAATATGGTCGTCCGCAAATTTTTCGAGTTGTTTCAAGATTGTTTTGGCTTATTTTTCTAAATATTTTACGTTATCAGATAGTCTTTTTTCCAATGCTCCTTTTAAAATTAACGTTAAATCATCTGCATAGAGGTGAGACAATATTTGAGGAAAATACGAGGGCAAAAAGTATATGTGCAGTCTGAACAGTAATGCAGCTAAAACGGAATCCTGCGATGCTCCGACATTGACCTGAAAGGTTCTAGACTCTGCTTCACCATGGCTAATAGTCATCGAACGGCTTTGCCACCATCCGAAGATCCATCGTCTTAGATCAGCCCGCATTCCCAGACCTTCCAAGGTTTTCATCAGAGCAGGATACCACATCCTTTTTTTCTCGATTTTCTCATTTCGTTACTCTCTCTGTTTTTTCATGACGGTGCGAGGATAAAAATATGTTTGAACAAACTAGGTGTGAATGGATATTGTTCTGTATAATTATGATCTTTTTTAGGCCAATGGGTGGTCATTATTTCCTGTCACAAATATACAAATGTGCTTATTCCACAATATTTCGCGTTCTATTGTTTGTCGGATTTCTCACATGTTTCTATTTTATGAATAATATAATAGTTGGAAGGCCAACAGTTCTAGTTGTTCATGTGACTTCCACAACTAGCAACACTTCACAAACGTCAAAAACAACAATCACTAGCACTGATGTGGGTAATAGGACAATAGAAGCATTCGTGACGTTTTCAAACAATAATCAACCCTATTTAGCTCTTTTGAACGCGTTGCTTGACTCTGTGCACCTCTTTTCAACAAGACCGATTATTGCATTTGGTATTGACGTTGATCTAATGGTTAATTTAACAAAATATCCACGTGTAATTAAACGACAAATATCACAAAGTAATTGTGGACCATCAGTTTATTTTTGCAAACTTTTGGCCATTGTCGAAAGCAATGTTGACTACGGTGTTCTGCTTGAAACAGATGACGTTGTTAATTATAATGTTGATATATTATTTGATGTTTTACACAAATGGCCATACGATCTTCCTCTCTCTCCAAGACATCCAGATGATCCTGGGAATCAACAGCCGTTTATGGAGCAATTTGGTGTTGTAAAGAAGACCACACCTTACATCCATGCACATGTTGCATGGACGTACAGAGCCTACCCATTTTTACGTCACGTTCAAAATCTGACACGTAGTGGACATTTTCAGGGTGCTAATTATGATGAAACAGCCATCAATGTCATGCTGTGGAAAGCTAAATCAAACCATACGCTGTGTAAATATGATCCGTATGTTACATATATCGATGAATATGAGAATCCAAGTCCAAATTGTACCAGATACTGTAATACGGCATTTATTCTATTACACGGTTCGAAAGATCCTAAATTTTCATCTGCTGTATTAAAACGCTTACAAGAAAGAGCTGGACAAGCAGCAATTCAAACGAAATATGGTCTGAGACATATGAATGAGACCAATGTCACTTGTTGTTATGATGATAGTAAACCATCACCGATACATCCTCTGTTATGTTTGCATGAAGATCAATGAATGAGGAGTTACAAAAGTCTTGCACCGCGTTTATGGTAAAATCCACTATACTGTATTATACGTATTCTAGTCATATATGAGATAGTGCCATCGATTTAGATCTGCACTGAATACCATATGTGCGAATCTTCCACTAGAGATAAGGGAGTCACCACTGTTTCGAGTCAAATAGTTAGGTTAAGGGTAGGATACTTCCAGTTCTCATAGTTCCTAGCGACTGGTGGAAGAACCGGTCGTCAGTTATCGTTCCTGGTAATCACAAAAGGCAAGAATCTTGGATGGTTCAGCAAAAACTCATAAAACTAGATTCAGTCTAGAAGTTGACTGTAATTTCACTACTTTTCGAGTGAAGCATGGTTCACAAATGTCCGATTTAGTACGTCTTGCCAAGACGTATAAGGCAATAACGGCAACATCGGTATCCCGTAAGTCGCCATTTAGCATTGTCAATTATGTTGCATGCAAACATCGATTATCACAATCATCTATGCTGAAAATCAAATTGTGATTCGAAATGTTAAGATTCATTGAAAGAGGTGATTACTCCTACTACTGGTATAAGCTATGTTGATATTTTTATAATCAGTGTAAGAATATCGGGCTGTCAAATAACAACTATGTATAGTACATCTCTTATCCACAAAACACGACAAAAAAGTTCTATATGAGTTGAGCTTATGAATGGGATTGGATCTTGAAATATGATCAATATTTTTAAAAGATTGAAATGGTATTTCGACATTTTACGATTCTATTGTTATTTCGTCATCGAACATGAATTTGTTCACGAATGCTAATGGTGATTGTTTCGGTAGACCTTGGTCCGTAATCCCATGGCCTCAATACATTACATATTGTTTGTTAAAACGATCACTAACTTTATTCAATCTCTTTAGCCTTTTCTTTTTGAGAAATCGAGTGAACGAACAAGTGGATTATATTTTATTCATACAGTGAGACTGTTGTATCTATCATTTAAAAAGGTAGATCTAAAGATCCACTGATTATGTGCCTTGTGCGACTTCTTACACACTATGCTGTACACATTTTGCTGTATTATGCAACAAACCAACAGCCAATAATTATGTCGACAGATATTATGTGTTTTTGCAGGGATTTTTTAGTCATTTTTTTTACAAAATGTGCACGACGTGATCTAGCGAACTACGCTACTTAGAAAACTTCTGGAAATGGGAAGACAATCTCTCGACATTGGAAATTGATCAATGCACGTTCTTTTTTTAAACATAAATCCAGATTCAACGCCAAAAGCTAACAACAAGTAGAACTAAAATATTTTTTGGACTTAGAAATTTTTCGTGTATTTATAAGAGTTTGATCGGCCAGCACCATTTGTTTTTAAGACGAAATAAAATTATTATTTAATTCTTTGTTCTTTATAAATATAACAGTAGGACATTTAAAACCTGAGTAAAGATTTTTAATTTCGATCTTTTAGTGATCTATCTTGGTTAATATGACCAGGGTCTGTCGACAATGCCGACTCGACATCGTTACTTGTGTGCAGCACAACTGCATTCTAGTTTATCTATTGTGTCTGAAAAAATTGTAGCAGATGTCCCGATCTTCTTCCTCTTTCTCGAACAGAATCTATTGGAAACATCCGATTTATTTTGATTTGTCTAAATCATCCAGCTTATTTGTAGACTGGCCATTATTTCTGTATGAGAGCGGCTTCTACAGTTGCTGTCGTTGGTATACCATATCATATTATACACATATTAGCAAGATGGTTAACCAATTAAGTTCAATTCTATATACGCTTACCATCAACAACTGCTAACAACCGCACATAGGTCTTACACAACAAACATAACTCGTCTATCCTTATTGGGAGATAGCAGTGCTACACATCTCGTTTGGACTGTTTTCCAATATTAGTTTTGTATTTGTATGAATTTCATATCAAGCTATGTGTCCAGATATACAGGAAATAAAGAAAAACACATTTTTTCTCTTCTCTCAGAGGATTTTTTTACAGTATACATGAACCAAAAAATTTAAAAACATTTCTAAACAATCTCCAGGAGGTTTCTAGAAAACATTTTCGAATCAAAGTACTTTCAACTGATTTACAAAAATCTTTAAATCTCACGATAATGCGCAGATAAAGTAGAGTGCTGACATAGTGTGAATCATGAAATGGACAATTTGGGGTATTCACTCATGAAAATATGACAATCCCGCTATGCGAGACTTGCTAATGCGTTACAAAGCGAAACATTTGCATCACAAGTTTTACTGCATATTTACAATACAGTCGTGCATATAAAGGTTGTACTATACTAATAACCCATTCATAACAGCAATCATATAATATATAGATAATGAAGTGACTAACACTGGATTTGAGATCAGCTGTGAAAGTAATATTGTACTGTAATGAACATCGTGCCTGTATACTCAGATCAATTATCATTTTGCTGAAAAATTTTAAAGTCCCAAACTTTCAATCTATCTACTTTCGGATGCTTTAGAAAAAAAACAATACACCTAGGAAGTTTCAAAAGGGACATTCCAACATTCAGCCACAGTTCTATCTCCTTGTTGACACAGCACTTGTAATTGTCCGAAAAACCGTCATAGAAAATGACACTTTTTCTGATCTGGGGACAAAAAGACGCACATGTTTGCTATAATGCGGTTATGCTTCGCACAACATTAAAAAAGCCAAAATATGGCTACTCTAACTTAATATTAAATTTTTTAAGATAGATTGGCAACATGAACTGTGCTTATTTGTATGGTTCAAGGATTTAGTAAACGAAAGGACGATCGACGGTTCAGCATCAACGATAGTCAACTACATTTTTTCTTTTACGCTATTAGAATCTAAAAGACAATGCGAAGATAAATCTCTCTAGCATGTCAGTCGAAAACTAGAGCAGATTTTGTTCACTTGATTCGTGGCTATCTATTTAAATCACTCTCTCATAGTGTCCATCAAAATGTTTATCAGCACGAAATAAAGGCTCGTCATCTCTGCAGTTACTGTTCGGTGCGTGCAATCAGTCAGATATTAGAGTAGGCTCGTTTTAAATCTACAGACAAAATCTGATAACTGTTCTTGTATCTGCGTACTTTCTAATACATCAAGATAATAAGGTACAAACATATTCACTTTATGCATTGCGAATAGATAAAAATGAATTCACTTCTTAATCTTTGACTTCTCCGTTTCTTCATGAAAAATTTGTATAAGAAGTTTTTGCATGATAATAAACTTCCCCTTTTTATTGTATGCCATTTTTTATAATAATAAAAATAATAACGCCGTCAAACTCGTAAAGCGAGAAGAGTTTTTGAAATCCCGTAGACTTGCTGATCCCACTGTAAATACTGTGTTATACTGTGAATATGTTCTGTGACTAATTTACATCAGTAGTCAAAAGTGTTTTTTGTTATGCTTCCGAGACACATTTGAAAAAATATTTGTTTTATTTGGTAATATCATCAGCTCACTATGTGAATTAGTTTACCACTAGTCCATGTCAATCGTTTAGATGAGCAGTAATTACTGGATTTTACTTGCAAGGGTACATGTGTTTAATACAAGTTTACCTAAAAAATATATTCGTACATAACAATATATAATTGCTTTTAACAAAAAAAACATTCATCACGCATTATATATATTTGCACATAACACACACAACAATTGAGTTTAAACAATTTAGAGAATGATAATATAACGATAGAATACTGAATTAACAACGCCACTAATGGCACCAAAAAATACAAATAGATGTAACATCACAGCGGCTGTCGGTGATAAATGTGGTTCAACTAATCTAAAATGAGAAAGAATGAAAAATTAGATTATTTTTTTTTCTACGTGATCATTTAACAACCCTTACTTAGATGTATACATATTTAGCATACTGTTGAAATAGCCATGTGTCAATGAAAATAGTATAACTATTGTCCAAAACCAATAGTCATTTGTTATTGTAACAGGTATTGTTGAACGTGAATTTGGTTCAAAGTTGGTGAACATAAAGATAATAAGAAAAAGAATCGCTCGAAGAAGTATACCGACAGACAACCATCTGGAGTAAGGCTAAAATAGATAATATATATCGTTTTAATGTCAACTATTATATTTTTATTTAGTTTTTTTTAAACTTTTTCACTCTTACTCAATTAGTACTCGTGTTCTTCATTTTATATCAAATCAGACTGATTTTATTTTTATTGAGCTCACCTTCTCTAACTAAGTAGGAAACTCACATAATGTGATCTAATATCATAGTCTGTGAATAAAATGAAAATAAACTAAACTACCTTTTTGACACAACCAGCAAGAATATTTCCCACAAGGTTAAATACTGCAAAACTAAGAAGAACAATACCATCAACAAAATAAGATTCTAAACAAAAAAAAAGATTAAGATTAAAAAAAATAAGATGTGTTCTTTATTCTTTTTGTAAATAGAACTTTACCATCTAAAAAGAATGTGGGTGTTAGACTTTTGACTTCACTTAGTACAGCTGGAAATAAAGTGATTGTTGTGATATAATGAAGCCAAGTAGCCAAACATTCCAACCAAATCTTAGAATAAAGTCAGTCATTTTTAATAGATTCGGAGAGTTTGATATAAATTCAATTTTCATTCTTTAAGATATTTTTGTTATTCACCTGTTTAAAAACATCGGCATATGCCACTTTTAATAATCGTCCTTTTGTATTATGCAGTAGATCAATTTTTACAGATGTATGATAAAATCGAAAAAATCTCTGAAAAAAAAGAAAATAATACATGATATTTTAGTTATAACAGCAACAGAATAGAATACGTACGGAATATGGCAAAGCGAAATATACATCGAAACACAGTAACAAAATAATAACGGCAGTAACAAGAAAATAAATGGCTACCACTCGAGCATCAGTGGTAACTAGAAAATAAAAATAAAAATTTATTGATAATTAAATTGAACTATTATCAAACCAGTGATCTCAAAATTTCATAATAAATTATCTTTCTAAATATACGTTGATTTTTTCATTTCAAATTTTAACTATTTAATTATTTTTCTCTATGAGAAAGACGTTCCATAATAAACTTACTCTCTTTCGCTATTATTCGACTAATAACAGCTAATAATATACCAATTGACTGGAAAAGGTAAAATCAAATATTCACAAATATTATTGTGTATGATAGTATTAGCAATATGCACACCTAATACGTACTGTTCCTACAACAATAGCGTTAGCATATTTATCTGGAAAATAGGATGCCACTCCAAATATACTGGATATATATAAACCGATAAATGCTGAAAATTAGATGAAATTTCACTTAAATTACATAATAATAATAATATGTTGCTTTTTACCTCCTATAATCACAATATTTAGTATTGTCACACAGAGAAAGACTCCAGACGCTTCAAAGTAAATAAAACTATTTGAAATACAAATGAGAGTGATAAAAAATAATATGTTACCATCTTTAGCATCAAATATGGCAAATAATACTTGAATAATAAACATAAGTACAAGAACAACAATGCAAGGAGAAATTCGTCTTTTAGTATCACCGCTTTAAAAATAAAATATCTTTTAGTTGACTCATTTGAGAATAAATAATTAACATACGTGAAGCCAAGAAATAAGCCAACACCTGTGGCTACACATGCTGCCAACAAAGTTGAAAATGCACAAAAACTAAGAAAATGACGACGATAAATACTCGATTCATCAGAAATAAAACGACAACAAATAAAATACTAGAAAATAGAAATTAACTTCGTATTGTTCAACTATATAGAGAATAGAGTAGAAACAAAACTTACAGAATAACAGTGTAACAAGAGATTCCATGGTAAAAAACAACCGATTCCGTGTATAAGAAATGCCAAATAAACCCCAAGAAATCTAAATAGTTTAAAGAAATAAGAGAAAACTATTCTTTTTCTCATAATTTCAACTAGAACTAACTAACCCTAATACACTAATAAAAACTTAATTAAAAATTCTTTAAATTATATTTTATTTATTCAATATTTTACATACCTATCACATGGAATCCGATAAAGTGAATCAGTCATAATTTTTGTATTTAATTCTTTTTTCTATTATTTAAATTCTATTTTGATCCATATATCGTCGTATAATAAATTCCATAATCAGAATTTCTCTTTATTGTAATAACGTGTACATTTCTTATCTATGTAAGTCGTTCATATTGTAGTTCTATGAACAAATATTATGATTATATTTATCGTGCATAAGTAATAATGTTAAAACAAAACAATATGGTTTATATATACGTGCCAACAAAAAAAAAAAATGCGAGAAACTTTTAGTTCAATAAAAACAATATATATATATATATATAGTTCAGCCTATTTCTCTGTTTTATTTTTAATATTTTTTCTGTCCTTCGCATATCCATATTATTTTTTGAAACAAATGTTCTCTCCTCAATCTTATAATGTCATATTGTTCTGTTTTTGAGTAAAAATGTTCTTTTCTTTCAAAGAAAATGTAGCATAAAAATGATTGAGTTCCATTAACATGATAGAGGAGGGAGTATTAGAAAAAGAAGAAGAAGAAGAAGAAGAAGAAAATATTAGCGCCTTATTGTGGTATAGTGCCAGTTTATTATCGTCCGTAAAAAAAAAAAAAGATGATTGCTTTAATGGTAGTGCTGCTACAGCATACAAATAACTAATTTTCTTTTTTGTGTGTATTTTCTTTTAGACAACGTGTCTTACATTTATCCATCGTCTCTTCTTCTTCTTCTACTTCTCGTTTTTTTCTTTTCTCCAATAATAATATTATAGATCAAATAGCATCTTTTAATCTATACATATATGAGCTTGATTGACAAAATATTGTCGAGTAATTATTTAAAATAATATCATAACAAAACAAAAGATTATTACATATGTTATATAGTCACAAACTGATAAGAGAGACAAACAGTAGTATTTAGAGGAAAATTAGTTGTTTGTTCAGCACAAGCTCATTAATTCTCAGTTAGAAATCAATATTGATATCAATAATGTTTCCAGAAAAAAATTTAAGTTTTTAAAAATTTCCAACATCAAAGATGCTGAGAGTATCTTCGAAAAACTGATCCTCTATACGCACTATACTCAAATGGATACAAATATTTATGTTTTCCTTGATAAGTATCATACCTGGCGTTCAGTCACATACACATTTTCATACACAAGTAACAAATCGCTTTCTATACAAAGTATGATTATTCTTGCGTCATAGGCGATGAAATGATCGATAGACACACTGATCATTATGAAGATAGAGAAAAAGAATTATGATTTTTACCTTGTATGAGTTTTTTTTTTTTTTTTTTTGTTTAAATATAATTCTTTTGAAAGCAAAAAGAAAACAGAAGAGTGAAGCCTTATGTTTTCTGAATATGTGGAGGATTTTAATTTTGTACAAAAAACGTTATATGGTGGTGAGTAAATATTGGCGAAAAAAGAACGATGTACACAGTCATACAATGTCTGTTATTCTTTTTTTTTGCCAGTTCTCATATTGTGCGGTTTTGCGGTTCTTAATTCTTTTAGATACATAAAAATTTTTTTGTTCTTTTTTTTGTTCTGTTAGCCAGACCTCACACGGTAGCAAAATGTGAAGTGTATTAGAAGAAACGCTGTGTTTCGGGAACAGGACGGTTGAATAAATGATGTTTGTGTGTGTTAATTATATTCACGGTCATTTTGTAGATCTTAACATATATATGGCGCGAGAAATCAAATACAACAAAAGCAACTATTTGTGTTATGCAACAAGAACGACAACTTTTCTCTTTTATATCAATTCTTTGTACTATTATCGTGTTCTCTTTCTCACTTTAAGACATTGTGACCTTGTCGCGTGTGAAGAATATGAAACAAAAAGCTACCACTTAAAATGTTTAGAGTTTTTAGTGTATAAAGAACGTTTCATCAAGAGATCGACGTCAGACAGTTCATATATATATGATCTGATTACACCAGTCGAAAACTCATGACAAATGTGTAGATGATTACTTGATATTTTCAAAATATTTTGTTAACAATATAGATCCTACATTAGTTTCGCTTGTTTTAACTTGATTAGAAAAAGACTTTGTTTATGAAGTGTGCTCAGTCATGTAGACCTTAAACTTTGTGGAAACTTTTATCATAAGTTGATGAACCATAAGACCATTACAATAGTTTTTCAAGAACGCAGAAAAATATGATATGATGTATTCTTTTGCTATCAACTCAAAACTCATGACAAACCAGTGTATTTTTTTTTCGGTGACATGGTACAAAAATTGCAGAAATAATAACTTGCTAGTGTAGAATATTTTTAAAGCTATGTGTTTAGACCTTTTTTTTGAGCTAGTTTTTCAAAAAATAACCTTCAAAGTATTCAATTATTTTAACGGTTTGATTATATGGATAAGTTGATCACGCCAAAAATTATCTTTGGAAAAATTTTCAAGCAGATCAATTGTAGTCTAACGGGTATAGAACGGAAGAAATTTTTGATAGCACTAGTAAACCAAATGTTCACATGATAAAATGCTCGTAAAAATTTGGTTTGCACTTACAAATAACTGAATTTTATTCGAAATTAAATTGACTTTAAAACTCTAAACTCTAAAATATTCATTACTGATCAACTATACTAGTTTTCAAAAATGTTTGCACATTAAATAACATTAAAAAGATATTTCTCTTTCTAACTCTACCTGGTATCGTTGGAAAACTGGATGCGTGGTTGCAGAGAAATATCGAAAATACTGAGCACGCTAGAGATGTGCAGAGTAAACGCTACTTAAGCACTGTACTTTGCCTTATTCTGTAAAACTTTAAAAACAATTTCATCGATGACTCTTTTTATTTTTCTTATAATGTAGAAGGGCGATAATAAAATCACATTACACTTAACATTTTTCAACAATAGGATATTGACAACTGCATTTTGCATATAGTCGTTATGATCATCTTTTAGAACGTGCTCTCATGAGTTAAATCCGCAATCACCGGTGGTCATACCTAAACCTGAAACCAAACATTTCTCCTGTTTTTACAAAATCCGATGGTTTTTCCAACGTTCAACCTACCTTATGCTCTTTTGTACCCTACATATCCTCCTAGTATAAGTGAGATGCACATCGTACTCACAAGTTTTTTATTAGGTTGAAACAAGCGAAAATAATGTGGGATCTATATTGTTAACAAAATATTTTGAGAAAACAAGTAATATCGATGTTATTGATACATTTTTCATGAGCTTTCAAATGGTGTAATTACAATATATATAAGTACTCAATAGGATCGATTTTTTAGCAAAACTTCTTTTAATTCAGTTGCTTCTTCAGCTATCAAAGGAGAAAATGCAATTTGTCAAATATGTATTTAAATACAGTAGTATCATACATGTCTCTGAACCGTAACCTATTATTGCTTATATTGTGGTTATCATAGCGTATGCATCTTATGAATGAAAAGTAATATATTTATCCATATCCATATCTAAAATAAATAAAAAAAAAAAAAAACGAGACAAGCACGTATTTGATTTGTTTTTCAATTGCATGATATTTAATTATCGATCAAGATAAGAATGATACTAATCGAGGCTATGATGTGTTCAATTGATTTTGTTTATTATTATATATGTACGAATAGTATACACACTATTATAAGAAAAGAGAAAATAGTATTTTGATATGATTAATTAAACTAATAATGATAACTTTCATTCTCAAGATTATATAGGAAAATGTTACTCATCTCTCTAGATACCCATTATACAAACATATCTCATAGTTTAATGATGTATGAACATAAATGATCCTATACTTAGCCTCTTTTTCTTTTATGTTGTACAACTGAACCCATATTTATAATTTTAATTAACATTGGAAGAAAAATTGAGATGATAGAGAGTAAACAAAGTAAAAAAATCGCAGAAATTAATCTGGAAGAACGAAATATAATATTAAATTTATTATTTTTGTGTTATGGTGTCTCACTTAAACAAACGAGCAAAATTTGAGCGTTTTATACAGTTAGAGTAAAAGAAAGACATCTTGATTAGACAATATGAAAATATAACAAGAATAATACAGTACATCTTAGATTCGAATGAATAATTTCACGTCTCTCTCTCTTTTCTTAATTGCATGAATTCAATTGACAATATGTTTAATTTGTGCATAGACAATTTTGTTTTTCTTATTGTTCATCAAAAAGGAAAAGTGTATGTGTTTATCGGGTAAAAATTGATCTTAAAACATGATATAGTTAACCTTTCTATGATGAAAATGTTTTTACTCCTTCTATTCTTATCGATGACCATATGTTCAACTGACCGAGTATATACATAGTCTAGATCATATAAAAGTTTTTTTCAATAAAACATTGTGTATTTTCATCTCCTTTTCTATTCATATAAATATAGTGCGTCATTATTTAACAAATTTGTTTTATTTGACAATGACATGCAAGATGTTTTTATTCGTGATTATTATACATCACATATTGATTCAACAAAACTTGTTAGAATACGTCTCGTACGTTATACTTTTGGATAGTAGACCTCTACACGTTGATCTAATAGTTTTTAGTGGAAGCACAATTACTAATAGAACATTTGAATGTCAGTTTTACAGATGATTGTTGTCAATACTTCATAAGAGCTGTTATACTTTTATGGTGTATGTATATGGGTCTTAAATGAGAAATGCTTTCATTGTGTAATATCTGCATGCATTGTGACTATAATTCTGGTGGTTTATTGCTATTATTGAAGTTGAGTGAGAAGGAAAACATGTCTTGAATGATAAGTTATTTGATAAACGGTTTTATGTCAAGATCAAATAAACGTTATGCATCGAAGCGTTTATCCATTTAATGTTCTCCCATATTCATTCAGTAGAATAATATATATTTCACAGCACATTCTTATACTGAAGATGTCAAGAAAAAATAAAAGACACAGTGATAATTTTTAATTATATGTGATAGCGGTACTGGCAAAGTGAGAACTCATAGAAAGATATTAGGTGAAAAGTAAATAAATGACACTTGTTTACCTTCAATTGTTGACAAGTTGTGAAACAAAAAATACAAATCTTTATTATAATATCAATCATGTACACGATCAATCAGACAAAAGAGATCAAAGGTTAAGTTTAATTATGCCATAAAAATTTATGATACTATTGATTATGTATATTTGTATGTTTTACGACACTATCAGGCTGTTCCTTCGTGTTCCTCAACTAGAACACTGCGGAGCAAACTTATTAATTATCCGACCCTAAACAACAAAATTTTTTCCCCCGTCCCATCAGCTTGAAGTGGAAAATGTTATCGTTCTACGGGTATTTTTTGTCCTACGGATGGATAATTTCAGTATAATTAACGTACGATTCGAATCCTAGCGATGTCAATCATATAATAGCCTTAGCAAGTTACTTACGCTCTTTGCCTCAGTCCATGGCCTATAGGAGAGGATAATGTGGCTTGCCTCATAGTACCACGCAGGATAAGAGTGATCTATAGCCTTGTGAGAAAAAGACACACCTTAGTTAAAAAAAAGAAAGGTTTTCGATGTAACGTGAAAACAAAAAAAAATCGATACTTTCTGCTAATTAGTCAGGTCAGCTTTTTCATTTTTTCGGTTTCGTGGTAAGTATGACGATTACCATCATGGTTTTCACTAAATATTTTTTCGAATTATGAATGCTAATATTTGCTAGAAATTTCAGCTTCAATAAAAATTTGATTCATAATAAAATTGCACTTTATAATTTTTCTCAATAGTGTTTCTTATTGCAGCTTGTTTCCACTGACATTTTAGGTAGTTTACGTGCATGTGCATTAATTGGCCAGAATTTATATTTAATGTGTCAAGGTGATGTCAATTTATTTCAAAACCAATCTTCTTAATACCGTTGGTTGTTTTTCTCGTTTATATAATACGCAAATGTATCTTTTTTCCAAATTATTGTAATTGTAACAACAGCTATCTTGAATCTCATATTTATTTATAAATTTATTTATTTATTTTGATGTTTTAATTTAATTTCCATGACTGCTTCTCAAAGCAAATTATCTCTTGGACAATATATTTTAGACACTGCTCATGCAATAAATTAAGGCGGCTTCAAGATATTGAAAATAATAATAATAATAGGCTGTTGATAAAAGAATCTTTAAAAACATTAATCAGAGTTAGACAATATGATTCACCCTATCTCGTTTTAATCTTTCCTGATAATGTTCAAAAAATATTAATTCAAGACCTTGGAATTTAGAGTAATTATTCAGATTTTCATTTTCGAACTACATCCTTCTTTTCGTTAAAAGTAATTAAGGTCCCCCACCCTCGATTTTTCATGGCTTTCGAATAAGTTTTCTAGGACCTCGAAAAACCGAGTCTTCAAATAATAGCGTTTTTCTGGATACTTACGCAATCAAATTTTTTTCTTAACGCGTAGAGCAACCTTTTCTGATCAAAATACGACCTCGTCAACTCTGTATGACCTTGCGTCAAAAAGTTACAAGTTTTTTCCTACAAGTCCTAAGATTGAGCATTTTATACAGCGTTTTCTCTACATGGGAGTTACGCCTAAAGTATGTTCCAAGATTTTTCAATATACATCAAGCTAAACAGTTCGAATTTGTTTTATTTTAAACTAGATACCTAACTACATAGGCTAACCGGCGCCGATTTTTCAATTAGGTCTTAGTTTTTTGTCAAATTGAGGATTTCTAGAAAATCAGGAAGCGTTTTTCGAATTTCGGGGGTTGTTGGTTATCTACAAAACGAATAAAGGCTTAATTGAATAACAAAGGCTCATTGTACCTAACATTTATGGAAAGTTTCGCCAAGATCGGATGTACGCTATTGGAGATAATTTCTGAGGCTGGTCTTAAAAGTTTATGGGGCAGTCAAACCGCAACATCAAGTTCTGACGTAATGTTGGCTTTTTGTGATGCTCGTAGTCTAAACTTTTCACACATTAGCAAGTGATCTTTCTATATATTCTTTTGCAGCTACAGTTGTGTCAGTAATTATTAGGTAGCTCTTACACCCATATAACAGTAAAAGGAATACTTCACTAGATGACAGTATATCATATACCAATAAGCTCATAGATCATAATTATGTTTTAAAACGAGTCTGTTCATTTATAGAAGCTTGTTTGTTTACTAAGAGAATAAAGAGTGAAAAAAAAACAGAAAAAAATTAATATGCATAAAGTCATGAAAACAAGTATGAAAATGAACGTTTAAAATGCAAAAACAAAACTCGCGTGTTTAATGAAATGTGCAGTCAATGAAAATCGACTTTTTTTTCAAACAACACAAGAAAAATTAACTAACACTGGGTTTGTTTTACCAAAAAAAGACTTGTCGAAATAATTTCTCGCAATTCTCAATCATTAATATGATTAGATGTAATTTAGAACAAAACAATTAAACAAACAAATAGACTACCATGAGAGTTTTTCGTAAAATAAAAGAAGATTTAAAAAGATGATTGATATTCGCATTCCATTTTGTAATCCGTGGTTTATATTGATGTTAAGTTTGAATAATTTCTTTCATTTTGTAATTTTTTCTCATGCGAGTACCATTTGCTTGAATCATGTTGCTGAATTTGTCTAATAAATATTAATAAAATTTAAACTACGATATGCTTACATCAATAAGTCTTTTTGATAGAAAGAAATTCTTCTTTCCTAAATTGTAATAATATAATCTAATTTTGATTGTTTAATAATTTAGCGAAGGTGACTAGTGTATAGTTTTATCTATTTTATTATTTTGAAATCTCGGCTATTGTCTCTCGTTGCATTTTCGTTTTTGAATGACAACGTTGCCGAAAATCATTTACAAAACGATTCAATTTTTCTGTCAAAAATATGGCTGTTTCACGTCGACTGGTGGAAACTGAATTTAGTGACAACCATTTATGTTCGAGACATTCAGGAATAGTTAATCGATTACTAGAAATAATAAAAACATAAAGAGACTTGGTTAGTCAAAGAAAACACGAGCTACACATACATTGGTGATTTTTTCAAACATTGTTGAACGAAAAGAACGGCTTCTTGTGTAACGTCGTCATAAAATTCATTTGTATTCCATCGAACAAACGTAACATTTTGATTTGTATCATCATCAGAAATACCGGCAAATGGGGAAAAGCCACTCAACCTGAAGAAAATTATGTTATGCTTTAGTTTAGAGTACTCATTTCAACGGCACTGTGTTCGAACTTTGGCGCAACCAAATCCCTTAATAACCTTCGAAAACTAACTACTCACTAAACTACTCACTACATTTAACATGCGCAATACAGTTATTTCGGTCAACTCTTGTGACTTTCGGAAACGAGATAATATGCAGATAGAAAGTATAGCATCGAGGTATAGAAACTCATGCAGTTGTACAAAGAACTCTACTTAAAGCTAGCTTTTGAAGAAGATATGCGGTTCATGAACGACAGAAGTTTGTCATGTGCAGGGAAAATATCGGATTATTGAAACTGATTACGTGAGAACTCTACGCCAGTAACAGCAGCAACAAGACGGAATACTCTCGGTTTTTTCAGTCCAGATAGACTGTAATCTATTCTATATTTTATTTTATAATGAGGTTTCGCTATTACTTACAGTGTAGCAATGAGTGCTCCAATACTCCATACGTCTGCTTGCACACCGGCTGCTTCGTCATTTAATACTTCTGGTGCTAAGAAAATGAAAATAAATGATCATATGATGCGAATTCGAAATATATTTTAATCTTTACCAGAATATTCATTATTTGGATTAATTAAATTTTTGACACTGTGTCCTTCTGGTGTTGCTAACTGTGTTGCACATGAAAAATCAGTTAATTTTACATTTAACGATAATTGATTTTCATTGATAACACTAGACGGATTAATATTCAAATGAGCGATGCCATGAAAGTGTAAATATTGTACAGCGTCTAATAATTGTCTCAGTATTTTAATAATCAATTCTTCATTATATTTATGACGTAAACAGATATAAGAACATATTTCCATATAATTATCCATTATCAATACAAATGAATTTTTCCACATGAAACCATCATTCATTTTAATAATACGTTCATGATCAATTTGATTTAATAATTCAAATTCTTTTGGCACATAATCGTTTGAATGTGATTGTGTTACGTTAGTTAAATCAGTAATTTTAATAATTCTTACACTGTCTGTTGCTTCTTCAGCGCATCGAATATAGCATGAGTTACCATAACTATTTAATTCTTCAATCAGTTTATACAAATCCCATGGATTTTGATCACGTTTTAATATCGTTTTTTCACCTAATGTTTTTGGTTTACTTACATCTGGTTGTAAAAATTCGCCAATGGTTTTTAACGATTTTTGATCAATTCGATGTTGATGTTCTAGTAAACGATAAGCAGAATGATGATCAATGTTTTTCAATGGTTCTCCACCATCTTCCAACGTTTTAATTTCTTCTGAACCCCAACTATACGATGATATACCAATTTTATTAATACACGATACACGAAAACGATAATGGGTATCTGGTTTCAAATCTTTAATAATAGCTGTTTCTTCGATAGTAAACGTGGAATTTGTCCATTTAAGATCTTCACGAGCTTTGTAATCAACACGATAACCGGATATATCGTTATTACCATCGTATGATGGTCCACTCCATATTAAATATGCCTCATTTGACGAAACATCAACAACTAATGGTCGTTGTGGACGATCAGGTACATCTTAAAACCGAGCAAATATGATTAGAATGTATGAAAAAATGTATTATTAGCGCTTACCTCCTATCAATAATCGTGCTTTGGATGTCGCACTACCATACATATTTCTTGCTACACATCGATATATTCCAATATCAGATGCTTTTGCATGGTTTATGGTCAATGTACATAGACCATCTACACCAAGAGCAAATTGTATTCGATCATCCTCGATAATAAATTCATCATTACGATACCAAAATATCTTTGGAAATGGACTTCCTTGCACTTTACAACGCAAAATAACTGTACCTCCAATTAAAAATGATGAATCATTTAATTTTTCTTTAAATACAGCCGCAAATCCTAAAAATAAACAATTTATTGGAGCTATTTTTTATTTTCCATTATCGTCATGATTATACCTGCTCCTGTTGTTGAACGTTGTTCTCGTGTAAAACCTTGCGCTTGAAATTCTCTCGGTATGCTGACACCACGATAAGGCGACGATCTAGAAGCACTTCCATAACGTGCTGACAATCCGTACTGATGTGTTGGTGATTCACTGGTTCTTCCGTATGGTAAATAGAAATTATTAGAAGAAGACGATAATGTTGTTTGTTGTAATGATGACGGCGGTGGTACGCTTATATCTCGTGGCATTGAACATCCACTATGTGGCACTGACGAACAACCACGATGTCGTCGTCCTTGAACATCAACATGCAACCGTTCTTTCACTGTATCTCGAAGTGATTGACGCTCGGGTGTTGCAGGTTTGCGTGCTAAACGGTCGTTTGAACTATAACGGTTTGGATGATTTATACGATGATATCCACGCATACGGATGGCAAAATCAACATCAGCCATTGGTAACAGATAACTACCAGGTACTAAATGTTCTTCATCTGGTGAATGTGGACGACGATAAAGTTCGTGATCACTGTCTACACTCATATCTAAGAGAAAAACTCAAAAAATTATCTTTCGTGTACCACTAACATAAATATTAGCCTACCACGTGATGTTCGTTTTCGTCCAGTTCTAATATATTTATCTTCATATGTTCGATCATGATCTGTTGAATATGGATCACGATTAAATCGTTTTTGATGTAAATCAGATATTGTTTGTAATGGAGCATTTGTTATTCGACGATGTTCACGCTAGAAACCGCAATAACATTACCAATATTTGATGATATACTCAAACGAAGCTTTACTTACGTTATATAGTTGTCTGGAATAGGCACCATGTAAACGATCAGATGAGAGAGGTGAGGTATCAACACGCTGAGATGCATATTTTAACCAGGGATGATTTAATGCTTGTTCAGTTGTCATACGATTTCTAAAACTATAATCGATGAACACATAGTTTCTAATTTTCAAATAATAGTTACCTTTGATCATTCACCAATAATTTGCTAATAAAATCTTTTGCATCATGCGATATATTATTCATGTTTTCATTAAATTTCCATTTACCATTTTTAATGTTATTTAATGTTTGGGAATCGTCTGTATCCGCAAACGGTGTTGAACCGCTAAGTAACAAGTAACTTATTATACCGCTAAAATTAGAAAAAAAATCTTTTGAATAATGTTCTATATTTCTATTTTCTATATTAAACGTTTAAGTGGTTTATTGAAATTAAAATACTTACACACTCCACATGTCTGTTAACAATGATATGGGTGAACGATTAACAATTTCCGGTGCAACATATTCTGGTGATCCATAATCAGAATAGAAATTTGATGAGCCTTTGAGATGCTGTGAATTTGAAAATCCAAGTAGTCGTACATGAACCGGATCATGATTGCTGTCGATATAAATATTATCAGGCTAAAATGTCACATATTATTTTTTTAAAGATAATATACAACACAAAACAATAGTTAAACATTACCTTAATGTCAAGATGTGCAATATTTCTGGAATGTAAATTTTTTAAAGTGTCAAGTAGATTTCGTATAATGAATGCCGTTTCAGGTTCCGTATAAGTTTTTCGTCCAAGCATATATTGAAGTAGATCAACACCGGATACACTATTATTAAAAAAGAAATCAACGATAATAACAATTGAATATTTGCAATTTAGAAAGACATACTTATCAAGTATGAGTGCAAGCATTTTATCACTTTCATAGGCATCGTGTAAACGTGGTACATTGGAATCATGGATGTTTGACAAAATATTCATTTCACGTCTTAACCAATCAAAATGAGTTGGATTGTGAATGATTTTTGCCACATATTCTTTGGCTGTACGACGTTCAATAACACGATAAACGGATGAAATTGGTCCACTATAAAAAGAAACTTATTGTAAAAAAAAGAAACATAAAATTAGTGCTTGTTATATACTGTGCTATTCTTTCTAATATATCATAATCTTCTTCAAAACGTTTCTTTTTAAATGCTACTGCTGGACGTTCCAAATCAGGACGTGGAATATTTAATAGATTATCTGAAGAAGCAAAAACATACACAAGTTTTAAATTATAAATAGATAAAAATAAATACCTTCAATGGAAACCTTGCCAGATGTTAGAGTGGCACCAGCCATGTTTTTCGCTGTACACGTGTATAATCCCGTATCTTTTTCAATTACGCCGTATATTGTCAACTGCCATGTGTCTGGTGCAATGTGACGAATTTTTGTTCGATGTGAATCCGTTAATAAACGCCAATCTTTATAAAATCTTACTTCAGGATAAGGTATACCATCTACTTTACATTCAAGATGTAATGTATCATGTGTTCGAACACGTTGATCTTTCAGTGGTTCTAGGAACATTGGTGGATCTGTTAACAAGAATAAACGAGTATTTATAATCATCTGCAACAATACTGCATTAAATTTATGCCTTACCAGCTACATACAAATGTACAGTATAATGTGCAGAACCATGCTTATTTTCTGCCACAGCTTCATATGCTCCTTCATCAGATGGCATGGCTGCATCAATGTATAAATAACAATAACCACGACTATCAGTATAAGGTTGAAAACGTGAATCACTTGGTTTAATTTTACTTCCCTACAGAAATTAAGAATTTTGTTATACGAATCCTAAATATGAAATTTGAATTGTGCATGATACATACATTATGATACCATGTTATTTCAGGCATTGGAAAACCTAGTAATAGCATGGCAATACGTGTATTATGTCCTTCAATAAAGTATTGAACATCTGATCCATCCACTTGTAACGAGGGTCTAATACCACCAAAATCGTCAAAGGGTCTTGTTGTTTCTGGCTTTCTCTTTTTCGCCAGTAAGTCATCTTCAATGCGCGACTCATTTGCTATAACAGATAAACTATCAGAATTGTCAGCGCATAAGAATATCGATACATACATTTTGTTAATGGTCGACTGGTGACAGGTAATGATGGATCACTCACACCGTAGGAATTCTCAGCTCGAACACGAAATGCATAAGTATGATTTAAGTTCAGACCATGAATATGAGCATTGGTGTCTATGAAGAAATGGCAACGAGAGGTTAATGAGACACGTCGTAATATTAGTTAATTGCGCTACTCACCCGATAAACCTTGTGCATAACATGTCCATGAATATGTTCTTGGATCACGGATCTCTACGATATATGTTACAGAAGACTGGCGACTATACGATGGTGAATGTTCCCAGCTTAGTAGTAAACTTGATTTGGAACGTGGTGTGAGTACCAACTGTGATGGTGGCTGAGGTATGGTACCCGATGTGACTCGACCTTTTTTATCGGCAAGATCTGGTACATCAAAACTAACGCGCCGTTTTAATCGTGTTGTATCGTCATGAGCTGGAAGGAAAAAAGCAATACTAATATGTTTTCAAATAGTACACACATACACTTACGCTCAACAGTTAATTCCGCTGAACAAGTTGTGGAACCAGCTCGATTTTCCGCAATTACTGTAATGTCTCCAGCATCTTCTTGAACACAATCATTTATTATTAATGTTGCTTTGGCATTAGTGTGCCATTGAGACTGATATTTGAAGTTATTGATATCGACATCCAATGGGACACCACCTTTCAACCTATATATATTAAATTTTAGATTTAGTAAACCAATTATATAGGGACAACTTACCATCGAATAAATGGTGTTGGTTCGCCACTGATGAAACAGTCAAATTTTGCCTTTTGTCCTTCAATTACTGTACAATTACGTAATTTTCTCACAAATGATGGTGCGATATCATTGACGCCTTTTTCAGACTCATCAGTAGTCCTAAGTAGCACACAAAATTCGTTAACAGAAGTATATCGACGAAAAATTTTACATACGTTTTATCTCTCTTCTTCGTTGATTCAATCAGATGCAGATTTGCTGAGCATGATTTCTCACCGGCTGCATTTTCTGCCTTACACATGTATTCTCCTTCTTCGTCGTCTGTAACATTCAAAATGGCTAATACGTAGATCTCTTTTTCTTGCGTAAGTTTATATTTATCATTGGGCTGTGAAAAAAACGAAAAAATAAGTTAACTGTATTAGTATAATGATGCTGTGAAATCTCCACTCACCATTATTTTCTTGTAATTACAGTACCAGGTTACTTTCGGAGCGGGATGTCCGCTAATGACAGCTCGAAAATGTGCATTTTGTCCATCATGAACAAATACGTCAGAAATAGGCTCCAAAAATCTGAAAAGAACAGTCAATTGATTTTTTTCTATAGTGGAAAACGTAGCATGATTGGTTTTCGTACTTTGGAGGCATCTCATCCGTGCTCAGTTTCCATGTATCTTCGCCATGAAGTTTGATGTAAACTGTTGCTGATGTTGATACTTCACCGTACGGATTACGCAAACGCAATTTATAAATTCCACCATCTTCTGTATAAACTTCTTTTATAGTTAATTTCGCTACGTCATTTTTCATATCAATCGTTGTGAAACTATTTTGTTGTATTTTTACACCATTAAGATACCAGGAGGCTTCGACATCATCCCCTGTAGATGAGTACAATTAACGATATAGGATATAACTAAAATATTACACTTACCTTCGAATTCACACTCAAGACGCAATGAACTGCGTTCAGGAACTGTTACATCTTGTAATTGACGTATAATATGAGGCTTTTTCTTTTCAGTGCCTGCAAGATCTATTAATAGAAAAGAGTTGAACGTTGACAGGTTGACAAAAAAAACAGTTCTCTGTTAATTACCTTCAACAGTCACTTGACAACTACTTTCTTTATCATCATTATCAATTTTTATTGTATATAAGCCCTCATCTTTAGTTGTCGTCGGTTCACGAATCGACAGTGTATAATGTAATCCCTCCGTTCTTGCTTGCACTCGACGATCATCAGATGGTAATGGCACCCCATTCTTGAGCCATGTTACATTCACATCTGGTTTCGATAGATGACAAGTTAAGTGTAGCGCTTCTCCATCATATAGTGTCCATGTCTTTGGCAACATTTTTGTGAAGAAAGCTGGCAGCGCTACAAGTTTTAAATAAAATACTCTTAAGAATTTTAAATACATTCACACTAGAAACTAAAAAGACATACGCTCAACGAGAAGATTTGCATTGGTATGTTCGTTATCCACCGTACACTTGTAGTTTCCAGCGTCAGACATTTGTACATTATGAATGGTTAATGTCAATAAGTCATTTTTAACCGAATATACTAGACGATCACTTGGCGTGACGCGAACACCGTCTTTGTACCACTTGATATTTGAACTCAATTTTGATATACGACATTGAAATCGAATAGTTTCCTACAAAAGAGACACGATATGTTCGATGATCGATCAGATACATTATTCAATTACATACCTCTTCAGTGGCTTTTATATTTTTCAATTGTTCTAGAAATTTGGTTGCTATTTTTTTAACAGTTAGATGGCAAGATGTTTTAATATGTTCACATCGCATTTCATATAATCCTTGATCATCTGGTTCACAATCATCAATTAGCAATTTATACTGTTTATCTGATTGTTTTGCGCGTATACGCGACTGAGTTGATGTAAACAAACGTTTGTCATTATGGTACCCTATAACAATGTTGACAATTTACTGTTTTGCAAAAATGATATAACATTGTATTAAGAACGCAATCAAAGGCGAAAAAATGAAAAAACGTCGACAATTCTTACATGTTACATCCATATCCGGCTTGGACAATTCACAAAATAACGTCAAACTTTCATTTTCTGAAACTGCACAATCTTCTAATGGTTTAACAAGTTCAACTGGTTTATCTAAGACATAAAGTTAGACTGTTAGTTATAATATTTCTTCTATAATACTTATACCTACCGATAATGGTTAATTTAGCTTCCGTTGCTGCATCCTGCACGCTGCATTTGTACCAGCCTTTATCGTCTTGTTTCAAGTTTAAGATACGTAAATAGTGACGATTTCCATCTGTTTCAATGTCATATTTATTTGACTGTGTTAAACTTTGACTACCATGATTCCATTGAACACGACATGGTTTCGATGTTTCACAAACAAATTCTACTTTCTCATCTTGATTTCTTACTTCCTCTTGTAATGGTAGAGTGAATGTAACAGGAGTCACTAAAGTCAACAGAATATTTGTAAAATAAGAACAAATGATGAGCCAAAAATCTTTCAATACCTTTCACGAGTAGTGTAGCACTCGTTGTGGCTCCATCTGCAGTGCATTTGTATTCCCCAGCGTCATGTCCTTGTATATTATAAATTGTTAACGAGTGTTTTGTACCATGTTTTTTAATTTCGAAACGACGATCTAAATTTGTCAAGTAGAATACATTAGATTCCAAATCGACATATGTAAGGCGATCAAAGTAAAGAATATGTTCGTTCGTACTTACCATTTTCTATTAGCTGTCCGTTTAAAAACCATTTGGTGGGTACATTCGCTTTATTCAATTCACATGAAAATTCGACAGAGTCATTTTCGGATACGCGTGCACCTGTTAGACTTTTGATAAATTCTGTTGGTATTTCTAGAATAGTAAAATACAAAAATTGTGGATACAGTTGTTCAGTTACTGAATGACACGTGTCAGGACTTTTGCTTTGAGCTATAGTAATCCGTCATAGTTAGCTAGATTTGATTTATCAGATTCAAATAAAAAGACTTACGTTTGACTTCTAACGTTGCTGTTGATTCTAATTCATCGTCGATTTTCACTGTTACTTTTCCACTATCGCCTAACAGCGCTTGCTTTATTTTCAGCATATATTTTTTTCTACCTGGTGATGTTGTCGTCTCAATACGTCCATTTGTATTTTCACTTGTTACCAATTGATCATTAATAAACCATTTGACTTTTGTTGGTATTTTATTTAGTTCACATTCGAACTGACATGGTTGATCTTGTTTAATTGTACGATTATTTAAATCTTGTATAAACTGTATTTTAACTAATTTCAAATCAGCCGTGCAGCTTGTACGTGCTTCAACAGCATCATACATGTATTTTCCTTGATCACTGTCATCAGATGAAAGAATAATTAATTTAGCTTCATGTTCATTATCATCGTAAGTGATTTTAATGCGATCATTGGGCAAAACAACTTGACCATTATGTAGCCAACGTGCCGTTTCTAATGGTGTCTTATTCATTTTAACTTCAAATACTAGTTTTTCCTCAGGTGTATAGCTTACATCACGCAATTCTTTAAAAAATACTAATGGTTCAACATGTACATGTACGTGACAGCGTGAATGAACATTATCACAGACACATTCTAGTATACAATCGTCTTCATCTTGTTGTGTTACTTTATTTATTTTCAATCCATGACTATATTTATCATCCGTTCGATGAAAACGTCCAGTCATGGATGATAGTAATTCCCCATTTTTATACCACTGCACTTGTTTGTTGGGTCGATATGTTTCAATATCCACGAACAAATTTGCACCAACTTTCAATATTAATTCGGGTGGTAGTTCACGTGAAAATACCGGTGCTTCTTGTACACTTAATTGACATGATGTTTCAACATCATCATTATAGTGTGCCGAATATTTGCCACTGTGATCTAATTCAGCTGAATCAATTTCAAGATAATGATTTTGACCATCCATTTTAATATGATAAACGGTGGAATCAGATTCGATTGGTACATTATCACGTTTCCAGACAATAGGGGTATCAGGTATCGATAATTTGCAATCAAACTTCACTTTTGATTCGACCCAAACAGTTGTATCCGCCAATGTTTGAATAAAGCGTATTCGAGAACTTATCTAGTAAAAAAGAGAAGAAGAATTATATTTCTTAGCATTTTTTAAGAGAGATATTTTGCATACGTACCACATTGACAAATGCATAACCTTTCAAACCATCTACATCAACAATATACTCTGCTTGATCATCAACGGATACTTTTGTAATTTTTAATTGTAATACTTCTTGTAGATTTACAATTTCTATTTTTTCGTTTGGTATCACTTCTTGACCATTTCTGAACCATTTAACCGATGATGGCGGTCGATTCAGTTCACAATCAAGAATAATATTAGCACCTTCATTAACTTGTTGATTTTCTAATTTCCTTACAAATAGCAACGGTTCTTGTCCAAGATTCAAATCATGTTTTTGTCTATTATATGGTTCGTGAACCAATATTTCTGTTTGATATTCGTGTAACGGTTTATTATTTTTGGCTAAAACAACACATTTATAGACTCCTGCATCATCATAATCCACTTTGGGTATGTTGAACATAACACAATAATGTTTATCATCAATTTGTTTTGTTGTTGTTTTAAGAAGTTTATTATTTTTTGTCCATTCAATGGAACATGGAATATTCGTAACGATTGATAAATTTAATTCATCATCTTGATCTAAATCGAGTAATTTTGGAGGTGATTCTAAAACTTTTAATTTATCATCATCACTTGTTTCTTGTATTAATGTTAAATCATGTTTATCATCTCTTGTTTTTACTGTATAGGAACCAAAATCGCCTTTTTCAATTGTTTTGATTGTCAGCGTACGTTTAGTATCAGTACTTGTCAATGTATAACGATTTGCCGTTGATTTCATGGGTGTTTCAGATGAAGCAATTTTTACACCATCATGAAACCATGTAACGTGGCCTTGTGGAACATTAAGGATACACGAAAACGTTGTCGATGAACCAATTTTACCACTTACATTTTCATCACATTGTACAATGAGAATTTTTTGTTCAAATAACTTCACATTAAGCGATTCACTAATTGGTTCTATTTCAAAACGATAGGGACCTTCATCATCGGATGTCGATGAACGAATTATTAACGAATATGTGATACCATTATTATCTGAATTCTTTTCTTGTTTAAATGTAAAACGAGCGTCTTTTTTCAACGATAGATCTTTACCATTTTTGAGCCATTTTGGTTTTTTAGTCGGTTCACGATTTAATGTGATGGATAAGGTAAACTCGTTACCAACAAATGGTTGTTCTGGTGTAACAGATAGTGGGATGAGAATATTAATGGGAATTTCTTGAACTTTAAGACGAGCCGATTGTGTAACACCATCATCAAGCTTTACAGTGTAAGAATCAGCATCTTTGAGATCAAGTGATGAAATATTCAATGTGAATAAACAATCAACTTGCTCAAATTTATATTTATCAGTGTTTGTGGTAGGTAGCGCACGATTTCCTAAAAGTTTTAGAAAAGACAGTTAGTAATATTCTAACTCAATCAAATTCAATGTCTTTTGTTAATTTATATCGAAATTAACCTGTTTCCTGATCCTCCTCTTACCGAAACAGAGATAATTAACTAAAAAACTCGCGTACCTTTTAGCCACTGAGGCGGTTTGGATGGCACTTTGTTTACTGTAAATGTTGCTTTCACCGTATCTCCTTCATATGCCGGCTCTTTATCAAATTTCAATGCTTCGACAAATCGAATTGGATCCGATGTTAATCGCAGTGTATAGGACGTATCAATTCCATCTGCATTCACTGTATATTTTCCTTTGTCTGTGGGTTTCGTTTTTGGTAAATAGATTGTAAATGTAAAATCATTATCATTCAATTTATTTTCCAAATCACGCGGTAATAATTTTTTTCCATCTTTATATATTTCAATTTGCTTTGGTTTTTTCGAAAATTGACAACTTAATTCAACATCTTCACCTTCTAGTGGTTTATCTATATTTGATGTAAGAGGTTTTAATATCTGAAGTGTTTTTTCTTTCACTTTCAATTCGGCTGATAACTTTTCATTCTCATTCGATGATAACCGGCATTCAATACGTCCAGCATCTTCAGGACGAATTTTTTTGATGGTTAAAATATGTTTTGGACCATCAGATTTCAAACTAAAACGTGCATCAGCATCAACATCAATCGATATTGGTTTCCCATTCAAGTACCATAACAAAGGCTCGGATGTGGATTTATTGAGTTGAACTGTACATGTGACAGTGTCATCTTCCTTAGGCAATTTTGGAGTAATTTCTAGTTCACCAACAAATTTGAGTGGTTGTTCTTTAACAGTCAGCTGATATTCAGCAGTAATATTGTCAACTTCAAGTGTGTATAGTTGCGAATCGTCTAGTTTCAAATTTTTAATTTTTAAAGTTAATCGTTTATCCGTTTCACGAGGTTCAAAACGTTTATCACTATCGATTGATTTTTGAGATTTTAACCAACGTATCTTCTTTGGTGGTAATGAAGCGTCGCATGTTAAAGTCACCGTACCATTTTCAACAGCATCACCATCAATAGTAATGCTACCAAGTTTCTGTGGAATTATCACGTCAACTTTATCTTCAAGATCGTTATCCAACAATACGCGATATTGTCCTAAGTCTTCCGCTTCAATTTTGGACAGAAGTAATTCGTGAACTGTGGAGTTTTCTGTACTTTTTGGAACAGCACGACGTGATGTTACCTATTATTAATAAAAAAAATCGAATGTAATAATAGTTTTTTGACTATATTTTACAAAGAAATAAAAGCTTACCTTTCTCGCCCCTTTATACCATTCAACTAATTTAACCGGTTTGGATGTTTTACAACGTAACAAAATATTTTCTCCGACAGCAGTTGGTCCGTTACTGACTACATTTTCATTCCATGGTTGATTTTTATCTTTTTCTAACAAAATATGTAACGGCACACTGATTTCATTTTTTACATCCAATTTTTTCATTTTTACTGCTTTGATATCGACTTGTACAGAGCATTGTTTCCCATTTGGTAATCTTAATGTGTATTTTCCATCATCTTCATTCAGTTTAACATTGTCGATATCTAACGTCAGTTTAACACCATTTGCATTTGTTTTAACACGATCGGACGCCAATGGTGTACCATTTCTCAACCAAACAATAGCTTCTGGCGTTGTGTCTGTCAGTTTTTCCACTGGAAAGTTTAGAGTACACTCTAGATGGAGAGGTTCATTGTCATTCAGAGTAATTGTGCCTTTCAATGGGATCGTAAAGTCATAGTCTTGAGTTTTTGGAAGGCTCTTGTCTTTCGTCACTTGATCTTCCTCTAGTGGTGTTTTCTGCTTGTCAATGTCACTGATAGGTATAGACTGAACTTCTTCGACTGGTTTAGACTTTTCAATTTCAGTCGCGGCGTTCTTGATTTCCTCTTGTTTTGGACGAATTTGTAAGGTTAACGAACTCTTTAAATTTGGTGTGACGGGTACTTCGTACAACCCACTATCATTTACCTGTAAATTGTCTATTGTAAACTGGTATATGCCGTTGCCAGTATGTTTTGCTTGAACACGTACTGGAGTTTTAGTTTTTGATTTTAATGTGTTTATTCCATCTTTTAATAGAATAACATCGGTATCTAATGGTTTATTCAATTCAATTTCTAATGTAACTGATTCATTTTCATTTGGTTGTTTATTATCAACTATGTATAATTCTTTTACGACTTTATATGGAATACTTTTGACAGTTACTTTACACGACGTTTCGATATTCATCAGTTGAGCGGTGTACTTTCCTTTTTCAGTTAATTTGATATTTTTAATTGTTAAAAAGTGCATTTTACCATCTTGTTCAATTTGTACACGTTCATCAGTTTTTACAGGTTGACCATCCGATTTCCACGTTGCCAGTTGTTTAATATCATGTGATACAGTGAATTTCAAAACCAGATCGCCTGATTCATTTATCGTAACATCTTTCAATGGTTCAACTAATTTTAACGTAACGCCTTTTACGTTCAATGATGCCGAGCATTTCTTGCTTGGTGTTGTGTTATCAATAACACACGTGTACGTTCCTTCATCTTTTGTATCAACATTACGTATCGTTAATAAATGATTACGGTCATTATCCGTATCGGTTACGGCTTCAAAACGGCCAGGTACTAGAGTCAAAGGTTTATTATCTTTCAACCACTTTACACTCATTTTAGATTTATTCAATTGACACTCAAATGTGACAGTATCCCCTTTGATGGCATCGATAGGCTCTAGAAATTAAAAGAAAATTAAAACTTTTCCAATCAATCTATCGAAACAACGGTTTACTAACCTATTTTATGAGTAAAATCAGCCGGCGATTCTTGGATTTTCAATGTTGCTGTTGTTGTTTTATTATTTGATTTAATTTTACATGTATACACTCCCTGATCATACGAAAGTGATTCTTCAATTGTGATGGAATGTACTCGTCCCTTTGTTTGTATTTTTAATCGTTGATCATTGCATAATTCACCATCCTTACTCCATTCCACTGGAACATTATCTTTGTTAGTTTCACACACAAGTTCAACAGGCTGTGTTTCTTTAATATCATCTTTGGGTCTAATTGTCAATTGTTTTATGAACTCAACACCATCTAATTGTTCCACCATTACTTGACATGCACTTTTATCATCTGGTGTACGTATTTCATACTGACCAGCATTTTCCATTTTGACTTTTTGAACAACAAGAGTATGTCGTCGTCCTTTTGACAATATTGTCGTATGTTGTTCAGATTTTAACTCTTGACCATTGAAAAACCATGAAATGGGTGCATGTTCATTATCAACGCGTGCTTCTAATGTTAAATTTTGATTTTCTGGTAATGTGACATCTTTCAATGGTTGAGTGATTTTTGATGGATGAGCTTTGACAATTACTTGACATTTTGATTGTAAATTATTTGGACCAAGAAATTCGTATACACCTGCATCCACTGGGAATAAACTATCTAAGACCAAAGTAAATTTGACACCTTCGCACGATACTTTAGTACGTTTATCTTTTCTCAATAGTTGTTGTTCATTTTTATTGTCATAGCGGGCAAAATGGCAACCTTGTACATTTGGATGAGATAACTCAACTTCTAATTTTAAATTTTCACCTGTTGAAAACATAAAATGAATTAGTTGAGATATAGTGGTTTATGATTATCTACCTTGATTGACTGTTATTTTTTCGGGTAACGGTTTAACAATTTTTATTGGCACCTCGATTACATCAACATCCGTATTTGTTTTTTCACCTGTTTTACGATCAGCACACGTATATCGTCCAGAATCGTTCGGTTCAGCTTTATGAACTAAAATAAAGTAGATAATTTAATAGATGAGTGAGTGTATTTATAAAATATTACGAACCTTTTAATTTTCGCACTGGACCATGATCGACTACTTTAAAATGTTCATTATCAGGCATGATTTTATCATCATCCAAAAACCAATCCGTTGGTTGATTTCCATCATTCATTTCACATTCAAGTGCAAAATCATTACCTTCATGAACGCTTAATGCTTTTTGTAATGGTCGACGAAAGACGGATTTGTTAAATGGGAATGAGCTTTCAGGTACTATAGACTCAACATCATCTACTTTCTGTGGTTTTTCTTCGGCAACAGCTAGTTTTAAAGGACTTTCTTCTTCAACTGGTGGAGGTGACTTCACCTTTTCTGGTTCATGTTCAACATTTACTTGAGCAGTGGAAGATTTTTTATTATCCACTGTAATAGTATATTTGGCAGTATCGTTGTTATCACAATTATTTATTACTAAACCTACAAAGAATTATAAGGATATTATAGTGACTGATAAATATCAAAATCTTTAAAAAGTTACATGCCTTGTAATTTTCCATTATTCATTATTTCATATTTGTCCGAATCTTCAATTGGTTTTCCATTTTTTTTCCACACTACTTTTTGAGGCTTTCTCGTTAGTTCGCATTCTAAAATTGTTGTTTTATTATAATCTGCAATAACAGGTGTTACTAATTGTTGAACAAAATCGATTCCAGCCGGTTCAATTGTGCATTGTGAACTTGTTTCTACATTATTTGATTTTATTACACAACGATATAAACCAGAATCATCACATACGGGTTGTAATATTTTCAATTTATGAACAGTATTTATATCATCGATTTGATAATGTTTTTTCTGTGGCAAAGTGAGTTTTGTTAGATCTTGATCGTCATGAAACCATACTATCGGTACCGGTTTTGATGTTTCACAAATTAATTCAATTTGTTTTTCACTACCTTCTGTAATATTCACATTATTTGGTGTCAATGGTTTTGTAAACGTTATTTCTTGTTCAATCCATTCAATTTTTGTTTCACCAACAAGATTTTCAATTTTAATTTTATACGTACCAGCATCTGTCTTTCTAGGATGAGGAAATCTCAGAATAAATTCTCTATTCTTCTGTTCTAAAATGGGGCCGTCTTTTGTATTGGATTTTAATGTTGTTGTTTCTTTTGTCCACACGGCTTTCATCTGATCACGATTGATTTCACATTTGATAACAACAGGTTCTCTTGTATCTTCATCCACTTTATATAAAGGCTCCAATGGAATGGTGAATTTTAACGGAGCAAGAACGATATCAACTTTAATGGACACTAATGGTGTTTTTGTATCGTTTTTCCAGTGAAATGTATAGGTGCCAGCATCTAATTTATTTGAACAAGATGGCACTTCCAAGGTAAAAATTAATCGATCAGGTTCATTAGACTTTGATTCTTCTTGATAGATATGACGACGAATCGCAGGAGAAATACTTGAAGAGTCAAATGGGGTATTAACTGTATTTATATTATCAACAGAGATCGGTTTGCCATTTAGAGACCAAGATAATTCATTTAAATCATCAGGTACATTAACTACAGTAAGTTGAATTTTTAATGGTTCTTCTTCAATAAACTTCAAGAGTTTTGGAGCATCGATGACACACGGAATTTTCGCTTTGGATTGTTCTATAAACATATATAAGCTTGTATTAGATTCTCTATACGTCTCAAAATATAAACGTGTAAACGGGTTGTATTAGCCGAGAAAATATTCATTTTTTGATTGCAGCTGATCATAAATGTAAAGTGAGAGATTTAGGAAATATGTACAGTACTGTTTAAATTTGTGAGAATTTTTTTTCAAATACTGATAATTGGTTCAGTATCAAAAAAAGATCTCTAACCTAACAAGTCTGTTTTTGAAAAAAAGTACAATCGTTCAAACCTAGTTTAAAAAGTTGTGGTACGGTCATGTTAAAAATAACATTGATCCGATCTAATCGTTGATCTTAAAAGTAAAAGTCTGTTGGTTTCGGTAGAAATATTAAACATTAATAGTGTTTGAATATGAAAGCTTGAGAGCTAAACTCTTTGTGCAATAATTTTAACTTACCTTTAATAGTAAGTGCCACCGTTCTTTCATCATTATCTGTCCTTACACTATAAATACCAGAATCTTTGGTAACTGATGCTTTTATGGTTAATTGACGCTGTTGTCCGTTGACCGTTATTTTATGTTGCTGATCTTCTTTTACTTCTTTATTATTCAAGAACCATTTTACTTTTCCAGTCGGTTGATTTATGGCTGTTGTTAATGTAACATCGCTATTTTCTGGTATATTATCTTTGTCAGGTGATGAAACGTTAATATCCGTCGTGAATACTATGTCTGCCGGCTTTATAGAAACGATTAACGGTGAACTAATTAGGCCATCTTTATCTGTAATGGTTGAATCTTTGACGATAGTCTCATATTTTCCTTTATCTTCTAGCACAGCTTTATCAAATTGAAATCGTACTTTTGAATTATCGTCTGTGTATGAAATTTGAACATGTTTATCGCTTGCACTAATCGGTACTCTTTTACCATCTTTGTTTAGTATAACATTTTTCACCGGTTTATTATATTTGACAGACATCTCAAATGGACTGGTTTCGTTAATTTCATTTGAGTCATTGTCGGCTATACGTAATTGTTCAATTATTTTTAATTGCAGTTCTTTGACTTTTAAACGTGTCGTAGTCTCTTTTGCTTTATTAACAGTTACCTTGTATGTTCCCATATCATCGGGTTTAACTTGTTGAAAGCGTACTGTTATGGATGCGCCTTCCTTATCAAGAAAAATACGTTTGTTATCAACTGGTAATGATTTATTATTTTTGAATAATTCAACTTTGACTGTATCATCTAACGGTCGGTTAAGGACGCATTGCAGGCATACATTTTCATCATTTTCTTCCACTTCGTCAGATGGAATACATTTTAGCTGTTGCACAAATTCATACGGTGGATATTCAATTTTAACGCTGACTTTTTGTTCCAATTCGCCATTGTTAAATCTTATTATGTACTCTCCCGAATTATCCATTTTCAGTTGATCGAGTTTTAAACGATATTTCCCATCAATTGATGATTCTGACTGATTTTCAATAGGTTCATTATCTTTTAACCAGACGAATGATACATTCGGCCGATTGATCTCACAAACCAACTCAATTGTTTCATTGACAAGTTGTTTGCCGATAATTTTTAATGGTTGTACGACTTTTAAAGGATGTTGTTTGACTGTTACTTCACAATCTGTTATCACCTGATCATTTAATTTCAACGCGTAAGTTCCGCTTTCATCCAGTTGAATTTTATCGATTTCTAACTTGAATTGTTGTCGATCGTTAGATGGAACAGATTTGACACGTTTATTCGTTGGACCACTAGAGATCGGTTCACCATTTCGTAACCAAACAATCGTTGGGTTATTATCAACATTTCTTAACTTAGTCGTTAAAACCAATATATCGTTTACGAACACATCCTTTTCTTGGTTTAATGCTTGTATGACTTCAATTGGTTTTGGATTAACGTTCACATGCACAGACTGGGATTGTAGTTGAGATGGATTTATTTTTAAGGAATAATCACCTTGATCAACATTTAATTTGATATTTTTCAATGTAATCACCAACTTTTTATTATCGTTTTGACGATCAATTTTCAGTCGTTTCATTTGTTCTACAGATAACAACTTATCATTCAACATAAATGCGACATCTTTATTATCTGCTATTGATCTCGAAACTTCACATTCAAAGACTAATGTATCATCAACTACTGGTTCGGTATTCGATACTGTTAACTGCTTGATAAACTCAAGCCGCTTTAAAATTTTAATTTCAACGCTTGGTGAAGACGTATTGTCGTTCACCACAACTGTGTAGTTACCACTGTCTTCGTCTTCTTTCACATTGTCAATAAATAATTGCCATTTGGGACCTTCTTGTTTCACTCTAGTGCGTTCATTATCAGTTATAACTTCTGCGCCATTGTGCTTGAAAACGACATTTTCATAAGTTGCTTTATCCAACTCACATTCCAGTGCTAGCGTATCATTTTCATCTATTGGATTGTTCAATGCTCTCAACGCTTTTACAAATCTCACCTGATCAGGTTTAATCGTGACCTTCACGACAGAACTCTTTGCTACATCACTGTCATCTCCACCTTTTATCACCAATTGGTAATCACCCGAAAACACCGACTCCACCTTGTTAACACCAAAATAAACCTTTTTCGAATCCACCACCAGATCCCGATTGACAACATTAGTTAAAAACGGTTCACCATTTAAAAACCACAAAAGCTTTTCTTCATCTACAAGTGGTCGGCTAAGTTCACACGTAAATTCCACCGATTCACCTTCAACCAGATCAGTCTTATTCGCTTTCAGTTGTTGCACAAATTTAAGCTGCTTCTTGTTTACAGTAACAGGCACTTTGTCACTTTCCACATCTTTCACACGTACACTGTACGTACCGGTATCCTGTTGGGGTTTCGCATTTTTCACCG